TTTAATAGTTTGATGAGCTCTTTCAACTATGCCTTGTCCCTGTGGATTGTATGGGATTCCTGTTATATGAGTAATGCCAAATGTTCAGCAAAATTGTTTAAAAGAGGTAGAAGTATAACCAGGGGCATTATCTGTTTTTAACTGTTTTGGAACACCCACAGTGGCAAAATTTTGTAAGCAATGAGCTATAACATCGTTAGTTTTTTCTCCTGCATGAAGGGAGCCCATCAAAAATCCAGAAGAAGTATCAACTGTAACATGCAAATATTTTAATTTTCCAAATTCTGGCAAGTGTGTGACGTCCATCTGCCAAATATGGTTAGGTATCAATCCTCTAGGATTGACTCCAAGATTAACTTGTGGTAAAAAGGTCACACAATTTTGACATTGTTTTATTATTTGTCTAGCTTGTTCCTTAGTTATTTTAAAACGCTTTTGTAAAGTATTAGCATTGACATGGAACTTTTTATGAAAATTTATAGCTTCTTCTAGTGTAGAGAAAATATGTATGTCATGTGTAGTTTTATCTGCTAAATCATTTGGTGCTGATAACGCCAAGGTCGCGGGTTCGTTCCCCGTACGGGCCACCAAATGCCGCAGTCTGGCTGGGCACAATCAGGAGCCACTTGTCAAAAGAAACTAACTTTATTTTTAGAACCACACACGCCAAACAAAACAGCCTCTCAGGAAAAACCCTCAGAGCCTCAACTGCCACCACCGGCTTTCCACAAGCCTCTCTCTCCCACACAAGCTTCTCCCCACCTCCCACAATCCTCCTGCTCTTGAGGCCGATTGGCTGGGTCACGTGGGCGGAGCCATAAAAGTCCCCCAATGAGCAGCTCTGTGGTCTGAAAGGGCAGGGAAACAGCCCAATGAGCATCACCGCAGAGGAGCCAATCAGCTAGATGTTGCTGGGGCCGAGGAGCCAATCAGCTAGATGTTGCTGGGGCCGCTGTGAGCCAATCATCAGCCAGCACTCTACCACGGAACTATATCTCCAGCCTGCATCTCAGAATTTGATGCTATTTAATATTGCATTTTTCCTACTGAGTTATCATTCAGTTTGAAATGAACATGGATAATTCCTAAATGAAAACCCTCATATATTTGTAATCAGTTTCCCTTGGTATTTGCCCAGACATATTATCCCAAGTATCTGAGAGTTCTAGCTGAAAAATGAAAGATCTCAATTTTTTCAGTTTGTTATAGTCATACTGAACATAGTTCTGATGACTTAAAAATTTGTTTTGTCCTCTACTATGATTGCATCTGTGAAAGGTAGGGATTATTAAGATGGGTCAGTGACATGTAGCAAAAAACATGCAGAAATTAATGGGACTTGTATTAAATAGTAAAACTCATTATACTTTTGTATGTTGAAATTTATCTGTAAGAATCAAAGTTATAAAAAGAGTACAGTCAATTTTGACACAAGTATGTCTATACATGTATATAAGTTCTATATTGCCAAACATTTTAGAAAGAAAGGATTTCTATGAAATCAACTGAAAAAATTAAAATCTATTGCTTTTGCTTGCATTGTGTCCAGGAAAAGTGTTCAGTGTTTCAATGTCTTAATGGTTTTTACACTGAGATTTTATTTTTAAAACTTTTATTAAAGTTACAGTTATGGAGAAATTACTTATGGGTTTTCTGAGGAAACCATGACTTTAAACTTAAATAATTGTACTTGTTTAAAATGTCTATGATAGTTCAAAAGCAACAGCTCTTTCCAAACTAAATAGTTCATCCATAGTTCAGTATATGGGGAATCAGATGGTAGGTTTTTTTTTTTTGTATGTGTGTGTGTGTGTCCCTCAAATTTTGTTTCCACTATTCCTATTTGACCTATTTTTCCATTTTAATGATCATTGTTGGTGACAAGGTTTACATAGTTTAAAAGAGTAAGGGAGAAGTTTTTGGAGTTGTTTTACCTTAAGAGGTCTGATTAAGAAAAGTTTCTTTCCATTAAAAAAAGACATTTTATTTGACAATATACTGTTTAGTTCTAAATCATTCTGAAAGTGATTTTAACTGTGTTTTTTTTATAAGTGTTAAAATATTGTATTTTACATGTTTGTAAGTGTATCTAATATTACTTATTCAAATATGCATGAAGTTTACTATTCTGCAAGAACCAGTTTTCTGACTTAATTTAAATAACATTAAATAGCTGATCCATAATGGGGGGAGGGCACATGGGAAGAATGGAGGAACTTTGGATTGGGCAAATGGGAGGGGGGTCTTCGGGTAGGAAAGATGGTGGAAAGAGAAGGATATTATTGCTCTAGGTATATGTATGATTGCACAAATGATGTGACTCTACATTGTGTACAACCAGAAAAATGAAAAGTTGTGCTCCATTTGTGTACAATGAATCAAAATGCATTCTGCTGTCATGCATTACTAATTAGAACAAATAAAAAATACTCGTTAATAAAAAATAAATAGCATTAAAAAGAATTTAAATAAGCCTGACTTAAAATGAACAGCCTTGGGAACACAATTCATCCAGATACTATAAAATAAAAAAATTAAAAAAAAAAACAACCACAAACTACACAGCTGGCACAGGAAATTGAATCAATGAGAGGCAAACAAAAATAACTCCACCTCATAATTTTTATCACCTGGACTCTAAAGATGGTGATGAAGTCTGCCACCCTCCCTAAAAAGTTCCAGCTTTCTCAGGCACAGACAGAAGCAACATGCCAACTGGCCACCTTTGAGGTTTTGAGCAGAGTAAAATTGCTTTCTATTTCCAGATGGCTGCCACTACACATTAGGGTATAGGATTTCAACATACTAATTTTGGGGGGATATAAGCATTCAGTCCATAACACCTGTATCCTGGTAAACATCTTAAATAGAATATCTCATTGAGTCCTCTTAGCAACCCAGATAGTCTTAATATTCTCTTCTTACAGAAAAGAGGCATTTTTATTTTCCTTCATAGCCAGAATGTTAAGTCCAAATCTCCAACCCCTGAGTCCATTCTTTGAACCCAAATGCCCTATCCCCTCCCTCTGAATCCCTGATTGGGGACTCTGGATAAACTTGTATGACTTGAATGATTATTAAGGTAGGGATTCCTACTCTTGTTACTTGGTTCCTTTAAACTTCACATTGAAGCCAGAGTTCCCCAACTTTTTCTTTCCCCCATAGAGAACCTACTTTGGGTGGTGAATTTAGAGCAGCTACCAAACTCCTTTTCCAGCTACCTGTGGCCATTTCAACTGATGCAAAACTCACTGTGGTTCTGTCTAGGAATTGTCTCAATCACCAGCAGGTTGAGAGGGAAGTGGATGGCAGCGTGCAAAATACTGTTTGAAACTAATTTCTTTTTAAGATGTACTCTTCAGTTATTTTAGCAATATGCTGTTTTATTTTAAAAGTAATTTTATAACTTTCCAAATCAAAGGTAATTGTAACTTTAGCTCACCAGTTTAGAGACGGTAATTACTTATAGAGTTACCACCACCATCTCGAGACAGTGTACCAAAAGGAGAGTGCTGAAAATACAATCAATAGAGTTAGAAAAATGTAAAAGTTTGGGATCAGGAATGTAGCTCCATGGTTGAGCACTTGCCTATCATGTTCCAGGTTCTGGATGCATCCCCAGCTCTACAAATAACAATAGCAAAACAAGTCAAGGTTTATTGTCATACGATAAGAGAAAGTATAATTTACTATGGGGGGACTTAGACCCAAGCTCAGAGGCATATAGAGTGGCTTATCAAACAAAGATAAAGTTGTTAAGCCTTTACAATTATGGAGTACTACAATGGGAATTCCATATGGCAGGGGATTGGTTAAAAGTGAATTCTTTATATCAATTTAGGGAGATAATTTATGTTTCCTTTGTGCTTATCAGAAGCATTTACAAGAAATAACTAAATTTGCTTTAGTTACAAGTGTTATTTACAGGAGTTAAATTTTGCTTAGGTGGCCTGTGGTTGGGGAATTTCAAGCCTGGTCTCTATCCTAATTTGTTTTAACCAAAATGTAATTCCTCTGAGGTATGCCTATGAAAGCTTGCCTGCTACACTTGTGTGTGTGTGTGTGTGTTGGGGGGATGGGGGTGTTAATAGCAAGAATTCTTCAGGAATATTATTTGTGTAGCATTTCAAATATTAACATTGTTATGCACGTTTTTGTCCTCCAAAGATAGTACCATAGTTCTCCATGAATAGAAATCTTATTATTTTACATTATTGACCAAAAGCTTATTTTTTTTCCTCTAGTGTGCCACCTCCAGGAAATTCAAGTTCTTTTTAAAATTTGTGTTTCTAATATTGTGGGTATGTGAACGAAATCCTAACTAAAAGCTATTTTCTTAGGTATTCTATTGTCTGTAAGCCCTACTTACTGGCCTTATAAAAAAGTCATAAGTAAGGTCATTCTTGGTAATAGGCAACTTGCATTTACATATTTTCTTTTTCTTTATTAGGAGGTGTCACTTTCTCCCTAACACTACTGCTAACGGTAAGAAAGAGGAACAGTACCTAACACGAAGCATCTACCATGTGTCTGGCATTCTCTAATCCTTTACACTTAATCTCCCCAAATTATCAGAGTGTGGTACAATCATCAATCTATTTTATAAAACAAGAAAACTGATGCACAGAGAGGTTAAGAATTGTTCCTGTATTTATGTGATTGATTCTTCTGGGACCCAGGTTCTGGGCAGCCTGGTTCCAGAGAACAGTCTTAATTTCTACACCGTGACGACTCTAAGACATGAACCAGGCATGTTCATGGTTACAACACTCTGCACAAACACTGCTTTCCTGAAATATTGACCATTATACTGTGATGCATAAAAGAATGCATATTTAAAACTAAGGAAATAAATGTAAGATCCCTCCAGCAACCTATGTTTTGTATTTCAATGGAATATTTCCTTTTCTATTTCTTTTTCTGTGGAGAGCAGTCTCAGCAATGTCACTGTCAGTCCTTTGAGCCCCCTTTCTTGCTAGGACTCTGGGGACTTCACTCACCACAGTCGTCCTCGTCGGCCTGATTCCCACAGTCGTCCACGCCGTTGCAGTGGAGAAACTGAGGCAAGCACTTTGTGATGTTCCCACAGGGAAAATGTCCAAGGGAGCACTGGACATCCTGTCCACTCCCATGAGTGACTGTGATGAAGAGAAGACATAACATTTGGAGAAGTTATCACAATGGCATTGCAAAACATGCATCCCGCTGGTATTTTCTAACCATATGGCTTTCTCATCCCGGCTTGTACAATCTTCCACGTGGCAGCTTTACCTTTCTATTCCAGTGCCCATTATTTTCCCAAGGACCTAAACTTCAGTATGATGCTCTTTTCCATATCTCTAGAAGATTCCAGCATTTACTCCTCTGTGCCTCTGTTCATGCTGTTTCTCACTTGGGAAGTCCTCTCTCCAATAATTCTAAAAAGCATGAATTTACTATATTCTTATTATAAGGCTCAGAATAAGGGCTGGTCTGATATCAGAGGAAGAAGACATAGAGGACATCAGGAAAGCACATGCCACAGGCTCATGGTGTTCCTAAGCATGAGGCCCCATGCAGGATTTTGGGCATATAGCACTGAATGAAACAGGGTTCCTGCCCTTGTGGAGGTTGCTGTGTATTGGGAAGACACACTGTGAGAGGAGCAGAAAGAACAATAACTAAGGTTTTAGAATGGAAACTCTGTACTGGGCTTAGCAGAGGTTCTCTGTGAAACTGTGCCATTTAAACTGAGTTTGGAAGGAAGAAAATGAAATCCCCTATGGGGCTGGGAAGTGCAGGTGGTTGAAGTGGTTATGAAGAGTTTTATGGCTGGCTTTGGGGAAAAAGGATTCTGGTTTCTATAACCAGCAGCGGAGGAATGCCCCAAGAGGGCAGGAGAAGGTTAAAGAGAAGCTTTGCTTCTGAGATCTTCACTTGGGGGTATCATTTTCTGAGCCCCAACAATACAGTAATTGTGAATACCTGTAAGTACACATTCATTTAAAGCTCACAGAAGGTGCAATGCCAAGGATGAGCACTAATGCAGACTATAGATGACCATAATGTGTCAATGTAGGGTCATTGTTTATAACAAATGCGTCACTGTGGTGGGGGATGTGGAAGGTGGGGAGGCCATGCATGTCAGAGTACCTGGAAAGTCTCTATGCCTTGCACTCTATTTTGTTGTGAACCTAAAATGACTCTAAAAAAAGTCTGCTTTAGCCTGGCACAGTGGCACATACCGGTAATCCAGAGGCTTAGGAGCCTGAGGCAGGAGGATCAAGAGTTCAAAGCCAGCCTCAGCAAAAAGCGAGGTGCTAAGCAACTCAGTGAGACTCTGTCTCTAAATAAAATACAAAATAGAGCTGGGATATGGATCAGTGGTTGAGTGTCCCTGAGTTCAATCCCTGGTACCCCCCACCCCAAAGAAGTCTGCTTTAAAAAAACAGCACTGTTAAACCTTCAAAGTCAGAATAAGAAGGTTGTATAGAATGTTATAAATAGAATAAGTAGAATAAATAGGACTGTAAGAACTTTGAAATTACAAAAAGCAGTCTATAAGAGTCTCTCCCTACCAGATCTCCAATCTATTCCAAAAGGAAATTCATTAAATATCATCACACATAGGCTTTCAAATTGTTTCCATTTCTTTAATTTCATCTCCCTGCTGCCAGAAAGAAAAATGCATTGTAGATGAAGTCCTTGTCATTATTTGTTTGTGGTCCTGGTTAGGGATGCTGAAAATTATTTGTTGAAAATAAAAATTAGAGATACAAATATAAGAAGCAAAAGTTGTCCCATGAGTTTTTGGTGGAAACCTCAGATCTAAACCATAACATGGGGCATTATCACTAATAAGACCCTCAACAAATAGACTAAGGAATATATATATAGTTATTAATAACCATACACATTTATGTAAATACTTCTTGATGTTATCTGTAGATACTGCAAACTGTGAGTTAGTCTCCAATTCCTATCCCACACTATAAGGGGCTGGGGATATAGCTCAATTGGTAGAGTGTTTGCTTCACACTCACCAGGCCCTGGGTTCAATCCCCAGCACCACAGAAAGAAAAAAAAAAAAAAGATCCAGTCTAAGTTTCTCCTCTTGCATTTCTATTTCTCCCTTTTCTGACAGTGAAGCACCTGCTTTCTGTTTTCTTTAACATATTTATTGTCTTGATAAGTCCCCTTTCCTGTGTGGATGTTCTCTTCCCCTCACTCCCTGTAATGGGCAGCATTCTCTCATGAGCATGCTCCTCACCCTGTTTGATACCAGGCACCAGGGTCCACTATGGACACCCTCTTCCCCCAGTGAATCTCTGAAATTCCCATCTGGGCCACTGCAACTCCTCTATCACTCCCAGCACAGAATACCTTCCTCTGATCCACCAAATGGCTTTAGGACTCAATTGTTCAGGACAAGAAGTAGAAAGGCACAGGGCCAATAACTGATCTTAGTGGGGAAGTTTTGGAGAAATCAAAAGGAAAATATAAAGGAGTAGAAAAAATGTTTCATTTTACTATGGAACCATATCTTTAAGACAGCAATAAGCCACCCTATAATAGCACTAATAAATAGAAAAAGTGATATTGTGTCCCTGGAGTTACAAACGTAATAAAGTTGTTCCTAGAGTTACAAAAGTAATCTTTCACAGAGGGACAAGTAAACATGGTGTGGTTGTGTAACCTGGCCACCCATTGCCTCTGGGTGCTGTTTTTGTCCTGGGCCAATGATACCACAGGAAAAAATGTGAAAGTTTGAAGTGGAACAAAAGAGAAGATTCCTGTACTAGATTATCTCTAGCTCACATCTTCTTTGAGATATTTTGCAACTCTGTTGGTTGCAGCAAACTTATAATAATGTAGATAATGAGGGTCCATGAAAATGCAGATTTTGTGATTGAAATGCAGATTGTGGATACATTGAATTTTGTCCCATGGATAGTGGGTTCATTTTGGTGGGTATAAAGCAAGCTTATTTCAGCCTTCATGTTGATGCTTTATGTGTGTGCTTTGATTTTTCCTTTGAATTATTTGTAGCATCTTACTGGTTTCCTCATTATTCATGTGAATCATGGCTTTATCTCCTCTTTCTCTGCCTTCTCCTAATTATTGTAAGATTATTCTTAAAAAGATGTGGGAACTCACTTGGAATCCAAAATTAATATTATAAGGTGAAGACATTTGAGAATCAACAGATACAGAAATAAACCTTCTCAGAGCTTTCCTTATCTGACTAAAAACATAAACTTTTGGGAAATAAATCTGGCATACTCCCTCTTTTGGGGGAGTTTACTCCTAGGAGAGAGACCAAGAGTAAACGTACCATAAATCCCTTCCTTACTAAGATTCATAGTCTCAAAGGAAGGATAGAGCACCCACACCTTCATGCATCAAACATCACAAACTTTATTATCTTCTATGCATTCTCCTAAAATCCTCTTTGCCTTTTCTAAAGAAATCTACTTTTTTCTTTTTTCCCATAGAAACTTTCCCTGTTCCATTTCCCCTATTAAGTTAGGTGTATTAGCCTCTAACATTAATCATTTAGTGAGCTAGCAACTTTTTTTCTTAGCTTCTGAATATGATATTTTTTTCCTCCTGTTTTATCAGACTTTTATTTAATTTGCAGGCCCCTTTGCATTGAACCTGACAGCACCAAAGTTCTAAATTGAATACAGGTGATGTGGGCTTTAAGACCTATTGACATCAAAGAGTATGCACTTCCTTATTGTTGAAGCTTAGGGAAGAATCATTGCAGGTCTAAGAAACTTGAGATACTATGTTCTGATAATAGAGTTGTTGGCTAAAAATAACCTTGGTTGGTTTGAGATGAAACCCCTGCTGATCTGATATGGTAAAATTCTCCCATTAATGGATATGTGTATTTGCAACTATGACAAATTTTAGAATTAAATATAGAGATGATAAAATTAATCAAATCTGTAACATTGGCACTGTATCTTAATGTAGGAATAATCTGCTTATTAAGAATTTAGAGTACTTTTAACGTTTAATAGAACTAGGCAATTTAAAACATCAGATTAGAGATTCAAGATGGCAGATTAGAGGAAGGCTGCATTTCCAGTTGCTCTGTGGCTCTGGGTTCAAGCAGCAGGAGTACTGCTTCTCAGTGAGACTCTGGGAATCTACTAGGATACTATGAGTTCATTCTGCTGCTTAGCTATATCCAAAACCCAGCTTAGAGATGGCACAGCATGCTTCATGCACAAATTAACCACGCTCAAACTTCAATGATACTTTAAAGAAAAGGGGAGAAAACCCCCAAACCAACAACCAGGCCTCAGGTAGAAACAGCTAGGGAGGAACATCAGTTCCCACTCATGGACATCCAGTCCTACACCAAAAACCAGAGAAAAAATTAGCCAAAAACTTTGGATACCACTCCTGTGAGAGGGTCTCAATCTAGATTGCTCCTATACTCCTTTAGAATATACTAAGTTGTTAAGTTGTTAAGTTGTTGTTAAGTTGTTAGGTTGTTAAGTGATAAAGGGTAGACCTTGTATACCCTTTTATATACAACACAATTGCTGGATCTCCACGAAGAAATTAAAAAAAATTCTTAGAATCAAATAACAATTGTGATATAACACCCCAGAACCTCTGGGACACTATGAATGTGGCACTAATAGGAAAAATTGTAGCTTTGAGTGTTTATATAAAAAAATCAGAACAATCCCAATAAACAAACTAATGATGCAATTCAAGACCATTGAAGAAGAATAAAATAACAATTACAAAAAACAGTAGAAGAAGAGCCAAAATTAATAAAATAGAAAATAATAATAAAAAACAATGCAAAGGATCAATGAAACTAAAAAGGTTGGATTTTTGAAAAGATAAACAAGGCATATTAAACCCTTAGCCAAACCAATCAAAAGACAAAAAGAGAAAAAGGAGAAATCTCCACAGACACCACAGAAATCTAGGGGATCATTAGGGGGCTATTTTGAAAACTTGTACTCCAATAAATTGGAAAACCTAGGAGAAATAGTTACTTTTCAAGATACATATGACCTGCCAAATTTTATTAAAATTAATTATACTTTCAGGTATAACTAAGAAGAACCAATAGAATTAAAAAAAAAAAGAAGATCTAGAAAACTCAAACAACCTAATATCAAGCAAT